GAAGAAGCGATTTATGGCTCAAATTGAAGCTGAAGATGTCTTCTTTCGAAATCTGTATGTTGTTTAAAAGTTTTATATAAAAAAATTTTGAGAAAAAACCTTTTTTAGATAATTTTATTAAAATAGTTAATTTTCAAAAAATCATAACCTTTTTATTTATGATAATGAAGAAGCGATTTATGGCTCAAATTGAAGCTGAAGATGTCTTCTTTCGAAATCTGTGCGTTGTTTAAAAATGTTATATAAAAAAATTTTGAGAAAACAGCTTTTTTAGATAATTTTATTAAAATAGTTAATTTTGAAAAAATCATAACTCCAAAATTTTTAAAATCAAAGAATTAAGTCTTGATTTATTTAATATTAATTAAAACAGCTTTGAGATGCTTCTTATTCCATCGCGGTATCTCAATTCGTTTTTGAGATATGGTTTGTTAAAGATGAATGTTTCAAATTTCCGCGATTTAGGTGAATTCAAAAAATTTATTTCTCAAAAACTAAAAGTGATTTTTCAAAACGGCTTTTTGCATCAAAAAGAGGATACTTTAATTAATAATTGGTGTCCACAAGGATCCTTCAAGAAATGAATTTTATAGCGAATTTTGAAAATTATCGATAAAAAATTATGCCACGACTTACAGAAACACCCTGTATAATGGCCACTAGTATCTAAAATTAATATTTACAAGATATAATGAGTAAAACAGCTTTCAAAAATTCTGCCTCGGCCGCAAGCGACCTCGGCTATCATTATATGCCAAGATCTTGAAGGATTGTCTTTGATAAGTGTGATATATGACGGTTTAGATAATTTTAGACACATTTTGACAATTTCAAAATTACGAGTAATTTGTATTTACACAAGTTGCTCATGGAAAAAAAATGGTAATCAAAGTATGTTACAGAAATACTTTTAGAACAAAATTTGTAGCAAATTTTATCCTTTACACATTATTCTCGAACATTTTTGCTCTCAGATGCATCAATGTAGAGAAAAATTCAAAAATTTGAAAATTCCAAAAAGTCATAGNTGGAGTCGTAGACCAGGAACACACATGGAAAACGATCCCTGAAAACAATATTATAACATCATTTAAGAAGTTTTGTATAACCAATGCTTTGGACAGATCCGAAGATGACGTAATATGGGCAGAAAATGGTACATAAAAATGTAAATATCGTTCTAAAACCCTTAACAGTGTTATTGTTATAATGCGACTTTATTTTACTATTTTCCAAATCGCAACTATACGACTGCGAATCTAATCCGCACTCGATTGTAATCCGCATTTGATTTTAGAGCATATAAAATTTGTAAAAAGGGTGCGGATTAGATTCGAGAAAATACGGTACTTTTAGAACAAAAGTTGTAGCAAATTTTATCTTGTACACATTATTAACTAACAGTTTTGGTCTCAGATGCATCAATATCCAGAAATATTTAAAAATTTGAAAATTGGAAAAATTCGTAGTTACACAAGTTGCTCATGAAAAAAAAATGGTAATCAAAGTATCATACAAAAAAACTTTTATAATAAAAGTTGTAGCCAATTTTACCTTTTACACATTACGATCTAACAGTTTTGTTCTCAGATGCATCAATGTAGAGAAATATGCAAGAATATGAACATTGGAAAAATTCGTAGTTCTACAAGTTGCTCATGGAAAAAAAATGATAATCAAAGTATGATACGGAAATACTTTTAGAACAAAAGTTGTAGCAAATTTTACCCTTTACAAATTACTATCTAACAGTTTTGTTCTTAGATGCATCAATATAGAGAAATATTTAAAAATTTGAAATTGGAAAAATTCGTAGTTACCCAAGTTGCTCATGAAAAAAAAACGGTAATCAAAGTATGATACAGAGAAACTTTTAGAATAAAAGTTGTAGCAAATTTTATCCTTTACACATTATTCTCGAACATTTTTGCTCTCAGATGCATCAATGTAGAGAAAAATTCAAAAATTTGAAAATTCCAAAAAGTCGTAGTTACTAAAGTTGCTCATGGAAAAAAATGGTAATCAAAGTATGATACAGAAACATTTTTAGAACAAAAGTTGTAGCAAATTTTATTCTTTACACATTATTATCTAACACTTTTGCTCTCAAATGCATCAATGTAGAGAAAGATTCAAAAATTTAAAAATTCCAAAAAGTCGTAGTTACTAAAGTTGCTCATGGAAAAAAAATGGTAATCAAAGTATGATACCGAAAAATTTTTAGAATAAAAGTTGTAGCTAATTTTATCCTTTACACATTACTATCTAACAGTTTTGCTCTCAAATGCATCAATGTAGAGAAAAATTCAAAAATTTGAAAATTCCAAAAAGTCGTAGTTACTCGAGTTGCCCATGGAAAAAAAACGGTAATCAAAGTATGATACAGAAAAATTTTTAGAATAAAAGTTGTAGCAAATTTAACCCTTTACGCATTACAATCTAACACTTTTGCTCTTAGATGCATCAATGTAGAGAAATATTTAAAAATGTGAATATTGGAAAAATTTGTAGTTACACAAATTGCTAATGGAAAAAAAATGGTAATCAAAGTATGATACAGAAAAACTTTTAGAATAAAAGTTGTAGCAAATTTTACCCTTTACACATTACTATCTAACACTTTTGCTCTTAGATGCATCAATGTAGAGAAAAATTCAAAAATTTGAAAATTCCAAAAAGTCGTAGTTACTCGAGTTGCCCATGAAAAAAAAAACGGTAATCAAAGTATGATACAGAAAAATTTTTAGAATAAAAGTTGTAGCAAATTTTATCCTTTACACATTATTCTCGAACATTTTTGCTCTCAGATGCATCAATGTAGAGAAAAATTAAAAAATTTGAAAATTCCAAAAAGTCGTAGTTACTAAAGTTGCTTATGGAAAAATAATGGTAATCAAAGTATGATACAGAAAAACTTTTAGAATAAAAGTTGTAGCAAATTTTACCCTTTACACATTACTATCTAACACTTTTGCTCTTAGATGCATCAATGTAGAGAAAAATTCAAAAATTTGAAAATTCCAAAAAGTCGTAGTTACTCGAGTTGCCCATGGAAAAAAAAAACGGTAATCAAAGTATGATACAGAAAAATTTTTAGAATAAAAGTTGTAGCAAATTTTATCCTTTACACATTATTCTCGAACATTTTTGCTCACAGATGCATCAATGTAGAGAAAAATTCAAAAATTTGAAAATTCCAAAAAGTCGTAGTTACTCAAGTTGCTCATGGAAAAAAACGGTAATCAAAGTATGATACAGAAAAATGTTTAGAACAAAAGTTGTAGCAAATTTTACCCTTTACACATTATTATCGAACATTTTTGCTCTCGGATACATCAATGTAGAGAAAAATTCAAAAATTTGAAAATTCCAAATAGTCGTAGTTACTAAAGTTACTCATGGAAAAAGAATGGTAATCAAAATATGATACAGAAAATTTTTTAGAATAAAAGTTGTAGCAAATTTTATCCTTTACACATTATTATCTAACACTTTTGCTCTCAGATGCATCAATATCGAGAAATATTTAAAAATTTGAGAAATTTTTTCCCAAAATTTGTGCATTAAAGGGTTACCCAACCAATCCCAAACCCCATTAACACCAATTTCTTTTAAAGCCGCTTTTTACAACAATGGATATTCGACGGAATTTTAAACGACCCCCACGACGAATTTTTCATCGCAAATTCGCGAAAATCATTAAAACCAATTTCCCGATCATATTGGACGAAATGTTTCGTAATAAAAGAGGAAAAAGTCCCCGATTTTTTAATCGATTTAGCTAAAGATGTTTTATATTGCGGCAAAGTTATGAATTTATTAAAAATTTGCGCCCCAAAGAACCCACTTTGTATTAATTTAGTGGCACAAAAACGAGCTTTATTGAGGTGTTGTTTAAGTTGGGGGGAAATCTCGGAGTTGGAAGAAAACGTAATTTGTTATAAATACGAGTCGATTTTGAAATGTGGCTCGAAGTTTAGTATTAAAGAGTATTTGTTGAAAATTGAGGAGGATGACGCGATTATTGCCGATTTGGTTGTTAAAAAGCGGGCGGAGGCGATTAAAAGATTAGAGAGTGAGTTGATTCGATTTTGGGGGATTTTTTTAATTGAGGTGGTTTTTAGTGGAGAAATTAGAGGTGGCGAATCGGTTGTTGGAGGAGAAACGAAGAAATGTCGCGATTCTTAAAGCTGATTATGACAAAGCGCTTTTAGATAAAAAGGAGGCGATTACGAGGGGGATGTTGAAAGAGTTGGAGGTTAAAAGGGCGAATTTGAAGCTTTATTGTTTGAGGAAGCAGGTTGTGGAGGAGGAGGCGAAAAAGTTGGTTAATTATTATGATAAGTTGATGGAGGAGTCGGATAGGAAGCTTTTGGATATACAGAGGCATCTTAATCGGGGCAAAATGATTGAGATTAAACCACAAGAGTCGTTTTATTCGACTGTTGAAATTAAAAGTGATAGCAACTCTGATTCGTCGTTCCATTCGGCTATTTCGAACGATTTTGATGAGAATAACCCGAATGAAGGTGAGGGTAAAAAAATTGAATTAACTCCGTTAAAATTGACTCAAAACGTGGTTAAAGAAAATAACAAATCGATTTGTTCGGAGTTAGACTCGATTAATGCGAATTTGATAAATAACGAGGTTGAGAATGAGTTAATTAAGATGGTGAGGGAGAATAAAGAGGCGGCTTTAAAGAATAAAATGAGGGTGATGTCGGACGAAATGGGGTTTATTTGGAATAATAATAACAACAAAGATTGTTGTGGGGAGCCAAAAATCGAATCGAATCTAAACGTCGTAAACGAAAATTTTAAAAAAATCGACGAAAATGTGTTAAATAATAATAACAACACGAAAGAAATAAGTTTAATCAAGAACGATCGGAATTTAACGCTAAATTTGACCCAAAACGATTCAAAAACGATTTTTAGCCAATTTTGGAAAAGCCCAAATTTCGAATTTCCCAAACCGATGTCGATCGATTCAACCCCCTCAACATCAATTTGTTCCAAATCAACGATCGAATTCCAATTCAACCCCACACCCACTTCACCAGATCTAAACAACTTGGAAAAACAAATCGAAAAAAGCGTCTCGATTCCGCTAAAAGCTCAAATTAATCTGATCGATAACGAATTATTACGCCACTTTTTTGTTAATTTGAAATATTTGGATCATTTGAAATTGTTTCGGAGTTATTTCTTTTTGTTGGATGGCGAGTTTAGTCGGAATATAACGGAGGAGTTGTTTAATAAGTTGTATAAGGGGAAAGATTCGAAACCGACGGATTTGTTGAATGTGAGTACTTTGCAAAATTTGATTCGACACGCGTTGGATTCGTCGATTAAATCGAAGGGGGAGTTTGCCTCGATTTTGTCGTTTAAGATTAATAATATTCCGAAGAATTTCGATTTGAACGACCCCGACGTGCTGAGTTGTTTGTCGCTGAGTTATGAAGTAAAATGGCCGTTAAATGTGTTGTTGCCGAAGGATATCGTCGCGAAGTACGATGAGGTGTTCAAATTTTTGTTGAAGTTGAATATGGTGTCGTGGGTTTTGAAGGAGATGTTTCAGGTGAGTAATTTTTTTTTGTTTAATCTATTTTACTCTTAACACATTGCTCTTTAACACTTTTGATGTTAAATGCATCAATGTAAAGAAATATGAAAATTCGAAAAATTCGTAGTTACACAAATGTAAAAAAAAAACGGTAATCCGAGCATGATGCAGAAAAATTTTTAGAATAAAAGTTGTAGCAAATTTTATCTTTTATAAATTATGCTCGAACACTTTTGCTCTCAGATGCTTCAATGTAGAGAAATATTTAAAATTTGGAAAAATTCGTAGTTTCATAAATGTAAAAAAAAAAATGGTAATACGAGCATGATACCGAAAAGTTTTAGAGTAAAATTTATAACAAATTTTACACTTTACACATTATTATCTAAAATTTTTGCTCGCAGATGCATCAATGTCGAGAAATATTTAAAAATATAAAAATTTTAAAAATTCGTAGTTACGCAATTTGCTAATGTAAAAAAATAGGGTAATCCGAGCATGATACAGAAAAATTTTTAGAATAAAAGTTGTAGCAAATTTTATCTTTTATAAATTATACTCGAACACTTTTGCTCTCAGATGCTTCAATGTAGAGAAATATTTAAAAATTGGAAAAATTCGTAGTTACATAAATGTAAAAAAAAATGGTAATACGAGCATGATACAGAAAAGTTTTAGGATAAAATTTATAGCAAATTTTACACTTTACACATTATTATCTAAAATTGTTGCTCTCAGATGCATCAATATCGAGAAATATTTAAAAATATAAAAATTTTAAAAATTCGTAGTTACGCAATTTGCTAATGTAAAAAAATAAGATAATCCGAGCATGATACAGAAAAACTTTTAATATAAAAGTTGTAGCAAATTTTATCTTTTATAAATTATACTCGAACACTTTTGCTCTCAGATGCTTCAATGTAGAGAAATATTTAAAAATTGGAAAAATTTGTAGTTACATAAATGTTAAAAAAAATGGTAATATGAGCATGATTCAGAAAAGTTTTAGAGTAAAATTTATAGCAAATTTTACACTTTACATATTATTATCTAAAATTTTTGCTCTCAGATGCATCAATGTCGAGAAATATTTAAAAATATAAAAATTTTTAAAAGTCGTATTTACGCAATTTGCTAATGTGAAAAAATAGGGTAATCCGAGCATGATACAGAAAAGTTTTTAGAATAAAATTTATAGCAAATTTTACACTTCACACATTATTATCTAAAATTTTTGCTCTCAGATGCATCAATGTCGAGAAATATTTAAAAATATAAAAATTTTGAAAATTCGTATTTACGCAATTTACTAATGTAAAAAAATAAGGTAATCCGAGCATGATACAGAAAGATTGTTAGAATAAAAGTTGTAGCAAATTTTATCTTTTATAAATTATACTTGAACACTTTTGCTCTCAGATGCTTCAATGTAGAGAAATATTTAAAAATTGGAAAAATTCCTAGTTACATATATGTAAAAAAAAATGGTAATACGAGCATGATACAGAAATGTTTTAGAGTAAAATTTATAGCAAATTTTACACTTTACACATTGTTATCTAAAATTTTTGCTCTGAGATGCATCAATGTCGAGAAATATTTAAAAATATGAAAATTTTAGAAATTCGTAGTTACGCAATTCGCTAATGTAAAAAAATAGGGTAATCCGAGCATGATACAGAAAAATTTTTAGAATAAAAGTTGTAGCAAATTTTACCTTTTATAAATTATACTCGAACGCTTTTGCTCTCAGATGCTTCAATGTAGAGAAATATTTAAAAATTGGAAAAATTCGTAGTTACATAAATGTAAAAAAAAATGGTAATGCGAGCATGATACAGAAAAGTTTTAGAATAAAATTTATAGCAAATTTTACACTTTACACATTATTATCTAAAATTTTTGAACTCAGATGCATCAATGTCGAGAAATATTTAAAAATATAAAAATTTTAAAAATTCGTAGTTACGCAATTTGCTAATGTAAAAAAATAAGGTAATCCGAGCATGATACAGAAAAACTTTTAGAATAAAAGTTGTAGCAAATTTTACACTTTATACTTTGTTCTCAAACACTTTTGCTCTTAGATGCATCAATGTAGACAAATTTTCAAAAATGTGAAAATTGGAAAAATTCGTAGTTTCACAAGTTGCTAATAGGAAAAAAAATGGTAATCAAAGTATGATACAGAAAAACTTTTAGAATAAAAGTTGTAGCAAATTTTATCCTTTACACATTACTATCTAACACTTTTGCTCTCAGATGCATCAATATAGAGAAATATTCAAAAATATGAAAATTGGAAAAATTTGAAATTTCGCAATTGGATAATGGAAAAAAATGATAATCCGAGCATGATACAGAAAAACTTTTAGAATAAAAGTTGTAGCAAATTTTACCCTTTACACATTACTGTCTAACATTTTTGCTCTTAGATGCATCAATGTAGAGAAATATTCAAAAATATGAAAATTGGAAAAATTCGTAGTTTCACAAGTTGCTAATGGGAAAAAAAATGGTAATCAAAGTATGATACAGAAAAACTTTTAGAACAAAAGTTGTAGCAAATTTAACCCTTTACACATTATTATCTAACACTTTTGCTCTCAGATGTATCAATGTTGCGAAATATTTAAAAATATGAAAATTAGAAAAATTCGTAATTATAGTTTCCGATATCTCTGGTGATTTTTATAACTTAATTGCAGTCATATAACGAACAAAGACTGAGTTGTAAACATGTAGTTTACAAATCGCAAACTGTGGCGTGAGTTGTTCAGTTCCGCATTAAATTACAAAAACATAACATTTAAAAACTTAAATACCATTACTTTGCATAAAAATACAACAATTTATTTAAAATTTGTATTTTTCGAATGTAAACAATAATTTGGTACTCTAAATACTGTTTAAGTGTTTTTTCTTTTTTTTTTAAGGTATAAATTTTTTTCAACTTATTTCAAATTTATATTTTTAAAGTCTAAACTAAATACCGTTAATAATTTTTATATTATTAGTTATCACTTGTTTTTTTTTTGTAAAATCATTTATATAATTTTGAATAAAAAAGAAGTGCCAAGAAGTACCTAGTTCGCTAGGAGGGCCTATCATAAATCACGTCCAGGTACTTTTTCGAGGTAATAATTGCTGCCACTACTGTTTCTAAGGGTCATAAAAACCACCAGAAGTATCGAAAACAATACACAATTTGCTAATGAAATAAAAACCAGTATTTTTTTTTCCATTAGCAACTTGTGCAACTACGAATTTTTCGAATTTTCTAATTTTTGAATATTTCTCTATATTAATGCATCTGAGAGCAAAAGTGTTAGATAGTAATGTGTTAAGGGTAAAATTTGCTACAACTTTTGTTCTAAAAGTTTTTCTGTATCATACTTTTATTACAATTTTTTTTCCATAAGCAACTTGAGTAACTACGACTTTTTCCAATTTTCACATTTTTGAAAATTTCTCTACATTGATGCATCTGACAGCAAAAGTGTTAGATAGTAATGTGTAAATGGTTAAATTTACTACAACTTTTGTTCTAAAAATTTTTCTGTATCATACTTTGATTACCATTTTTTTTTCCATTAGCAACTTGTGAAACTACGAATTTTTCCAATTTTCATATTTTTGAATATTTCTCTACATTGATGCATTTAAGAGCAAAAGGGTTAGATAGTAATGTGTAAAACATAAAATTTGCTACAACTTTTGTTGTAAAGATAAGTTGATGGAAGAGTCTGATAGGAAACTTTTGAATATACAAAAGCATCTTAATCGGACCGAAACGATCGAGATTAAACCACAATAGTCGTTTTATTCAACTATTGAAATTAAAAGTAGCGACAGCAACTCAGATTCGTCGTTTCATTCGGCTATTTCGAACGATTTCGATGATAATAAACCAAATGAAGGTGAGGGTAAAAAAATTGAATTAACTCCGTTAAAATTGATTCAAAACGTGGTTAAAGAAAATAATAAATCGATTTGTTCGGAGTTAGACTCGATTAATGCGAATTTGATAAATAACGAGGTTGAGAATGAGTTAATTAAGATGGTGAGGGAGAATAAAGAGGCGGCTTTAAAGAATAAAATGAGGGTGATGTCGGACGAAATGGGGTTTATTTGGAATAATAATAACAACAAAGATTGTTGTGGGGAGCCAAAAATCGAATCGAATCTAAACGTCGTAAACGAAAATTTTAAAAAAATCGACGAAAATGTGTTAAATAATAATAACAACACGAAAGAAATAAGTTTAATCAAGAACGATCGGAATTTAACGCTAAATTTGACCCAAAACGATTCAAAAACGATTTTTAGCCAATTTTGGAAAAGCCCAAATTTCGAATTTCCCAAACCGATGTCGATCGATTCAACCCCCTCAACATCAATTTGTTCCAAATCAACGATCGAATTCCAATTCAACCCCACACCCACTTCACCAGATCTAAACAACTTGGAAAAACAAATCGAAAAAAGCGTCTCGATTCCGCTAAAAGCTCAAATTAATCTGATCGATAACGAATTATTACGCCACTTTTTTGTTAATTTGAAATATTTGGATCATTTGAAATTGTTTCGGAGTTATTTCTTTTTGTTGGATGGCGAGTTTAGTCGGAATATAACGGAGGAGTTGTTTAATAAGTTGTATAAGGGGAAAGATTCGAAACCGACGGATTTGTTGAATGTGAGTACTTTGCAAAATTTGATTCGACACGCGTTGGATTCGTCGATTAAATCGAAGGGGGAGTTTGCCTCGATTTTGTCGTTTAAGATTAATAATATTCCGAAGAATTTCGATTTGAACGACCCCGACGTGCTGAGTTGTTTGTCGCTGAGTTATGAAGTAAAATGGCCGTTAAATGTGTTGTTGCCGAAGGATATCGTCGCGAAGTACGATGAGGTGTTCAAATTTTTGTTGAAGTTGAATATGGTGTCGTGGGTTTTGAAGGAGATGTTTCAGGTGAGTAATTTTTTTTCTGTTTAATCTATTTTAATCTACACATTGCTCTTTAACACTTTTGATGTTAAATGCATCAATGTAAAGAAATATGAAAATTCGAAAACTTCTTAGTTACATAAATGTAAAAAAAAACGGTAATCCCAGCATGATACAAAAAAATTTTTAGAATAAAAGTTGTAGCAAATTATATCTTTTATAAATTATACTCGAACACTTTTGCTCTTAGATACATCAATGTAGAGAAATATTTAAAAATTGGAAAAATTCGTAGTTACATAAATGTAAAAAAAAAATGGTAATACGAGCATGATACAGAAAAGTTTTAGAGTAAAATTTATAGCAAATTTTACACTTTACACATTATTATCTAAAATTTTTGCTCTCAGATGCATCAATGTCGAGAAATATTTAAAAATATGAAAATTTTAAAAATTCGTAGTTACGCAATTTGCTAATGTAAAAAAATAGGGTAATCCGAGCATGATACAGAAAAATTTTTAGAATAAAAGTTATAGCAAATTTTATCTTTTATAAATTATACTCGAACACTTTTGCTCTCAGATGCTTCAATGTGGAGAAATATTTAAAATTTGGAAAAATTCGTAGTTACATAAATGTAAAAAAAAAATGGTAATACGAGCATGATACAGAAAAGTTTTAGAGTAAAATTTATAGCAAATTTTACATTTTACACATTATTATCTAAAATTTTTGCTCTCAGATGCATCAATGTCGAGAAATATTTAAAAATATGAAAATTTTAAAAATTCGTAGTTACCCAATTTGCTAATGTAAAAAAATAGGGTAATCCGAGCATGATACAGAAAAATTTTTAGAATAAAAGTTGTAGCAAATTTTATCTTTTATAAATTATGCTCAAACACTTTTGCTCTCAGACGCTTCAATATAGAGAAATATTTAAAAATTAAAAAAATTCGTAGTTACATAAATGTAAAAAAAAATGGTAATACGAGCATGATTCAGAAAAGTTTTAGAATAAAATTTATAACAAATTTTACACTTTACACATTATTATCTAAAATTTTTGCTCTCAGATGCATCAATGTCGAGAAATGTTTAAAAATATAAAAATTTTAAAAATTAGTAATTACGCAATTTGCTAATGTAAAAAAATAAAGTAATCCGAGCATGATACAGAAATTTTTTTAGAATAAAAGTTGTAGCAAATTTTATCTTTTATAAATTATACTCGAACACTTTTGCTCTCAGATGCTTCAATGTAGAGAAATATTTAAAAATTGGAAAAATTCGTAGTTACATAAATGTAAAAAAAAATGGTAATACGAGCATGATACAGAAAAGTTTTAGAATAAAATTTATAGCAAATTTTACACTTTACACATTATTATCTAAAATTTTTGCTCTCAGATGCATCAATGTCGAGAAATATTTAAAAATATGAAAATTTTAAAAATTCGTAGTTACGCAATTTGCTAATGTAAAAAAATAAGGTAACCCGAGCATGATACAGAAAAATTTTTAGAATAAAAGTTGTAGCAAATTTTATCTTTTATAAATTATACTCTAACGCTTTGGTCTCAGATGCTTCAATGTAGAGAAATATTTAAATATTGGAAAAATTCGTAGTTACATAAATGTAAAAAAAATGGTAATACGAGCATGATACAGAAAAGTTTTAGAATAAAATTTATAGCAAATTTTATACTTTACACATTATTATCTAAAATTTTTGCTCTCAGATGCTCCAATGTAGAGAAATATTTAAAACTTAAAAAAATTCGTATTTACATAAATGTAAAAAAAAATGGTAATACGAGTATGATACAGAAAAGTTTTAGAATAAAATTTATAGCAAATTTTACACTTTACACATTATTATCTAAAATTTTTGCTCTCAGATGCATCAATGTCGAGAAATATTTAAAAATATAAAAATTTTGAAAATTCGTATTTACGCAATTTGCTAATGTAAAAAAATAAGGTAATCCGAGCATGATACAGAAAAATTTTTAGAATAAAAGTTGTAGCAAATTTTATCTTTTATAAATTATGCTCGAACGCTTTTGCTCTCAGATGCTTCAATGTAGAGAAATATTTAAAAATGTTAAAATTTGAAAAAATTCGTAGTTGCACAAGTTGCTCATGGAAAAAAACGGTAATCAAAGTATGATACAGAAAAACTTTTAGAATAAAAGTTGAAGCAAATTTTATCCTTTACACATTATTCTCGAACATTTTTGCTCTCAGATGCATCAATGTAGAGAAAAATTCAAAAATTTGAAAATTCCAAAAAGGCGTAGTTACCCAAGTTGCTTATAGAAAAAAAATTGTAATAAAAGTATGATACAGAAAAACTTTTAGAACAAAAGTTGTAGCAAATTTAGCCCTTTATACACTACTATCTAACACTTTTGCTCTTAGATGCATCAATGTAACATTTCTAATCGGCGATTATCGTTAATTCAAGATTCTTCATCAGTGTCATAACAGTTGTCACTTTCCGCGCATTCTAAGCTGTCGTCATCAGAAGAATCATCAACGCTAATAATAAAACGCTGTACATGTGGCGACACATACAATCTTCGACATATTTCACGTGTTTTATGCACTGCGACCACAATTCGGATGAAATTTTATTATATTCCTCACGAATTATATTAATATTGTTTTTAAATATTATGTTTTTGTAATTTCCGTTAATGCGGACCTGAACAACTCACGCCAGAGTTTGGGATTTGTAAACTACATGTTTACAACTCAGTCTTTGTTCGTTATATGATTGCAATTCACAAGTCATAAAAATCACCAGAAATATCGGAAACTATAATTACGAATTTTTCCAATTTTTATATTTTTGAATTTGCTACAACTTTTGTTCTAAAAGTTTTTCTGTATCATACTTTGATTACAATTTTTTTTCCATAAGCAACTTGAGTAACTACGACTTTTTGGAATTTTCAAATTTTTAAATTTTTCTCTACATTGATGCATCTGAGAGCAAAAGTGTTAGATAGTAATGTGTAAAGGGTTAAATTTGCTACAACTTTTGTTCTGTCTTTTTCGGTCTTTTTCTGTATCATACTTTGATTACAATTTTTTTTCCATAAGCAACTTGTCTAAACTACAAATTTTTCCAATTTTCATATTTTTGAATATTTCTCTACATTGTTGCATCTGAGAGCAAAAATGTTAGATAGTAATGTGTAAAACATAAAATTTGCTACAACTTTTGTTCTAAAAGTTTTTCTGTGTCATACTTTGATTACAATTTTTTTTCCATTAACCAATTGTGAAATTTTAAAATTTTACAATTTTCATATTTTTGAATATTTCTCTACATTGAAGCATCTAAGAGCAAAAATGTTCGAGAATAATGTATAAAAGACAAAATTTGCTACAACTTTTATTCAAAAAAATTTTCTGTATCATGCTCGGATTACCGTTTACGAATTTTTTCAATTTTTTTATTTCTTTACATTGATGCATCCAACATCAATAGCGTTAAAGAGCAACGTGTAAATAAATCAAACAAAAAAAATTACTCACTTAAAACATCTCCTTCAAAACCCACGACACCATATTCAACTTCAACAAAAATTTGAACACCTCATCGTACTTCGCGACGATATCCTTCGGCAACAACACATTTAACGGCCATTTTACTTCATAACTCAGCGACAAACAACTCAGCACGTCCGGATCGTTCAAATCGAAATTCTTCGGAATATTATTAATCTTAAACGACAAAATCGTCGCAAACTCCCACATTACTGTCTAACACTTTTGCTCTCAGATGTATCAATATAGAGAAATATTCAAAAATATGAAAATTGGAAAAATTTGAAATTTCACAATTGGTTAATGGAAAAAAAATAAAGCGAGCACGATGCAGAAAAATTTTTAAAACAAAAGTTGTAGCAAATTTTACCCATAACACATTACTATCTAACACTTTTGCTCTTAAATGCATCAATGTAGAGAAATATTTAAAAATGTGAAAATTGGAAAAATTCGTAGTATCACAAGTTGCTAATGGGAAAAAAAATGGTAATCAAAGTATGAAACAGAAAAATTTTTAGAATAAAAGTTGTAGCAAATTTTATTCTTTACACATTATTCTCNTGCATCAATGTAGAGAAATATTTAAAAATGTGAAAATTGGAAAAATTCGTAGTATCACAAGTTGCTAATGGGAAAAAAAATGGTAATCAAAGTATGAAACAGAAAAATTTTTAGAATAAAAGTTGTAGCAAATTTTATTCTTTACACATTATTCTCGAATACCGTTACTCCATCAATCAGCATTACCAACCCAACTTATAAAAAGCAGAAATTTTAAGGTTTTCATCAATTTTCCTTTATAACTCATTAATTATATCAGATGGAAAAAACCTTCTCATACAAAACAGGTTTAGAATTAACCCATAAAACACATCCAATAAGTTATTTTAATCCATCCATCAGTAATACCAACCCAACCGAAAAAAATAACCAAATTTTTATATTTGCGAACATTTTTAGTTATAACTTATGAATTGTGCATGATGGAGAATTACTTATTAAACAAAAAATGTTTGGAATTAACCCATAAAACGTATTGAATAAAGATATTTAATCCATCAATCAGCATTACCAACCCAAGTTATAAAAAACAGAAATTTTAACGGTTTTATCAATTTTCTTTTATAACTCATTAATTATATCTGATGGAAAAAAACTTTTCATACAAAAAAGGTTTAGAATTAACCCATAAAACATATCAAATATGTTATTTTAATCCATCGATCAGTAGTACCAACCCAATCGAAAAATAAAACCAAATTTTTATATTTTTGAACATTTTCAATACATGTTATGGTTTTTCTTATGAAAGTCACAATTAATTGGTGTTATTTAGTTAGTACTAGATCCTAGTAAGTGCACAACTTCCATAGCCATAAAGCCTATAAAGAAAATTTTTTTTAGCAGCACTCTACAGTACAATGTAGCATATTTTATTTGTTTACGCTCAAATTATT